TTGCTCCAAACCACACAGCTAGATGAGTGGTGGAGTTGGGGTTCCATCATGTCAGTTACAGCATACAGAGGCTGGTCACTTTACCTGTTATGTAGGGTAGAAACAACCAGAAGAGAGACAGGTCTACAGTGAGGCTATGGTGACGAGCTTGGTTGTGGACATGGAAACATTGATGTGGGGCAGCGGGGGATGTCTAGGAGGCAGGTAGACTCATGTATCTCATGTGGCTGGACTCAAGAGAGATCTTGGCTAGAGATGCTCTTTTTTCCATGATCATCCCTCAGAGTACATGTGAAATTATAGTCATCAAGAGTATACTATCTAGTAGCCAGGTATCTGACAGATGGTGTTTAATAAAATTTTGTGGCCAAGATTATTGTAAATTCTTTAAGTGGTTTTAGTCAGGCTTTTATATTTGACTATTGATCTCTCTTGCCAACATTTTTTATGACGCTGTAGAATTGTTAACTATAATGAAAAGCCTATATCTCAGAAACATAAAAGCCATTTCCTAATCATAAGAAGTTTAAAGATTTCTATATTAAAAAGCCACCCCATTAAAAAGTTAATTAACCTTTAGTCAAATAACTTTTTATCTCCTTCAACTGTAAGCATTTTTTCTTTTAATATGCTGAATAATTTGTTTGTTTAACATTGTTTAAGGAACAGATTCCTAGTATAGGTTGTGTCACAAATTGAATGGAGAAAAAAATCTTTAGTACTCATCAAGTTCAATCTTATTTGTTTGCTGGCATCACCACCTACTGCCTCCCATCAAATACTTTAACACACTGTTGATGTGAAGGTGTCCATTTGTATATCAGAAACCTAAGATGAAAAAACAAGTATATTTACCTGGAAGAGTTTATGAAGACAATACATTTGTGTATGGCAGGGAATGGAAAACTATATTTCACACTTCAAATCTGGCTTGATGCATGTATTTGCAGGGCCCATGAACTAAGGCTAGTTTTTACTTTTTTTTGGTAGAGACAGGTTTTCACTATGTTGCCCAGGCTAGTCTGAAGCTCCTGGCCTTAAGTGATCCTCCTGCCTCGGCTTCCCAAAGTGTTGGGATTACAGGCGTGAGCCACCACACCTAGACCTAATTTTTACATTTTTAAATGTTGAAAAAAATCAAAAGAAGAACAATATTTTGTAATGTGTGAATTTTGTGTAAACTGCAAATTCTATTTTATGGAAACACAGCCATGCTCATTCATTTATGCGTCATCTACAGCTGCTTCCATCCTACAATGGCAGGGTACTTGCAACAAAGACTGTATATGGTACACTCACTGCTTTGCATTTCTGTTTAGCAACCTACAAATCTCAAAGATGAGGCTACAACTCCGCAGTGTCTCAAGTGTCCTGTATATCACTGTACAGTAGCATGGCTTTTTAAGTTATTAGTGCTATAGCCATCATGTCAAAAAATAAAAAATAGAAAAATAGAATCTGGCCAAAACAAAAAAAAAAAGAAGAAGAAAAAAGAAAAAAGGAGACAATAGTGGGTTCTAAATGTCATGCTTTTTAAGGAACAGCAGAGCATGTATTAATTTGTTATTGAATTAGGTGACACTATGATTTGAATGCTACCTCCAAAGTTTTTAAGTTGGAAACTTCACCCCCAAAGCAACAGTGTTGGGAGGTGGGGCCAAATAAGAGGTGATTCAGTCATGAGGGTTCTGCATGATTGGAAGTGGGTTAGTTATAGAAGGAGTTATAGAGGTTTGTTATGAAACTAAGTTTGGCCCCTCTTGCTCTCTTGATCTTGCCTTCTCAACCTCTGCCACGTGATGACACAGCAAGAAGGCCCTCACCAGATGCCAGCACCTTTATATTGGACTTCCTGGTCTCAAGAACCATAAGTCAAACAAATTTCTGTTCACTATAAATTACAAGTCTGTAGTATTCTGTTAAAGCTGAATAAAAATAAGATAGGTGGGAAATTATTCTGTTAATTATATAGTGATATTACAACTGTAGAAGAATACAATGTAACAGATTTAGTAATCATCACAACATTCCCCACTCATAGGAAAGCAATGAGCAATATTCCCCACTCATAGGAAAGCTAGAAAAATTAGAAAATTTAAAACAGAATGCTTATCACAGCACAATTTCTTTATAAAAATAAAAATGAGACTACAACCAAATACGTTTCTTCTGAGTGGCCCATTTCTTAGCCAACCAAGGAAAGATATTTATTGATAATGAGTTAATTATGTTTGATTATAGCAGCAGATGAAATATGTCCAGTGAAAATAAACTAGTTTAAGACTAAAAGCCTTCTTATGAAAGTTGTTTCTTGAAGAGTTGAGGACATTGGGAGCAACATCAATAGGTAATTTAGAAGTGAATTCTAGTGATTTTCCTTGGCTCTTGATAAATTGACAAATGTCCCTGATACAGCTCAATTGTTTTTTATTTGAGGAGTCGATATTGAATTTGAAGTGAATGAATTAATTAGATTCTATGAATGGACTGCATTGGAAAAACTAAGGGAAAGACTATTTTCAAAGAAAATAGGGAATCACTAATTCAGTACAACCTGAGGTGGAATCTGCTAAGATGTGTTACAACTGTCTGTGTTAAAAATATCTGTGGAGCAGAAAAGGGATGTGGGGGAAAATTTAGAAAGCCTGTGAAAATGTAAGATGTTTAAAGTCTATGATTACTTATTGTAATATTCATCATAAGGCACTTTGTGGAAAACATTGCCATTTATTATACATTATTGAACCAGTAATATCAAAGGTGATTTCATTAGCTATTTTGGACTTACCTATCATCCATTTTGTAAATTTTTGTCAGAAAAAGAAGCTAAACATCCTGTTACATCAGTATTAACAGATGAATATTTGAAATTAATTTTGATGATAGGGAACACTAATTTTGAACTCCAATAAAGTAAAATACTATCTTGTCCCTCCAATTTTTTTTTCTCAGTACTAAACCTGTATTACAAAAGCATATACTCAACTACTCATATAACATTTTGAATTTTACCAATAAAAAATTGTGGAAGCTTATTTTCTCTTGTTGTGTAAGTATCTACATAATACCCTTGATTTTGTCTCTTGGATTGCAAACACTAAAATATTTACTATCTGGTTTTGTTGTTTTTTTGTTTTTTTTTCTGAGACAGAGTCTCACTTGTTGCCCAGGCTAGAGTGCCGTGGTGTCAGCCTAGCTCACAGCAACCTCAAACTCTTGGGCTCAAGCAATCCTTCTGCCCCAGCCTTCCGAGTAGCTGGGACTACAGGCATGTACCACCATGCCCGGCTATAGTTTTTTCTATATATGTTTTTAGTTGGCCAATTAATTTCTATTTATAGTAGAGACGGGGTCTCGCTCTTGCTCAGGCTGGTTTCAAACTCCTGACCTTGAGCAATCTGCCTACCTCAGCCTCCCAGAGTAGTAGCATTACAGGTGTGAGCCACAGCACCTGGCCTATATCTGATTCTTTATAGAAAATGTTTCCCAGCCTCTGATGTATAATCTTAATTTATCTCAATTTGTAATACTGTTGTGATGGTTAGTTTCGATAGTTAACTTGGCAAGGCTATAGTTTCCAGGTATTCAACTAAACATCAATCTAGATGTTGCTGTGAAGTACTTTGTGCATGTGATTTACATCTACAGTGGTTGCTCTTAAGTAGATTATCCTCAGTATTCTGGGTAGGCCTGATCCAATCAGTACACATGCCTTAAGAGTAGAACTGAGGTTCCTTGAAAAAGAAGAAATTCTGTGTGCGGACAGCTCCTGCCTGCCTGAGTATTTCCATCCTGCCCTTCTTGACTGCCTGGTCTAAGGATTCCAGTCTTGCATAGCCTGCCTCCCAATCACATAAGCCAATTCCTTGCAATCAATCAATCTCTCTCTCTCTCTTTTTTTTTTTTTAGAGATGGGGTCTCACTATGTTGCCCAGGTTGGTCTTGAACTCCTGGGCTCAAGCAATCCTCTTGCCTTGGTCTCCCAAAATGCTAGGATTACAGGCACAAGTCTCTGAGCCCCGCCAACAAATGTCTTTATACACATACATATGCTCCTGGCTCTGGTCCTCTGATGTCCCTGTAAAAGACACCACCTGATTTATGCTGCTCGAAAACTGAAAAGACAATAACTTCAGAGAAAACAAAATTAATAAATTTTTTGCTGCCTGTCGGCTGTGATATTGCCTAATCTATCTTAATGACTCTCTAGGGTAAGGCAGAAAGGGGTAGTGAGAGTTATGAATAAAGACAGAAAATTCAGGAAGACTCAAATTCAGCCTTATCACTGTGGATCAAAAATACATCGTTTCTGGATAGAATCTGTTTCAAGAACAAAAATGAGATTTTTGTGGGGAAATGTGTCCCTTGGCCTACCTCTAGGACTCTTTCCTAGGGTCCACTGCTGCCGGCTGTTAGAGCACCCTTGACCTCCTGGTGCTGTTGGTAAATACTGGGCCTGTGTATTTTCAGAGGAGAGTTTCTCCAGCTTTCGTCAGATTTTCCAATGGGTCTGTGGCACCAAAAAGATAAAAACTACAGATGACCCCCCTCTAGGTAAATATTGAACCCTTATATGCCACCTGCTTTGTACCTTGTCTTCTCTGATGCTCACAATAATCCTATGAAGTAGGTACTAGTCTCTCACTTTACAGATGAGAAAACTGAAGCTTAGAAAAATGAAGTCATTCGTCCTGGTCTGGGTTCGAGCCCAGCTCTGACCCCAAAGCTGAGGCTTAGGGGAGTTGGGAGGACGGTCTGCTCAGTCACTAGGCTCAGGGCTCAGGGCCACTCGCTGCACTTGCCGTGGTCCTCTGGGTACCTGCCTGGCCTCTGCCCGCTCGCCTGGGCCGGAGACTAAGTCGGGGGTGGCCTCCAAGTTTTGAGGGGAGGGCGTCCTAGCCACTGGCTTTCTAGCGTGCCCGGCCCAACAGGAGGGGGAGCAGGAGGGAGCGGGGCGCCCGGGGAGGGCGGGCCCTGAGAGGGAGTTCGAAAAGAGGAAGGAAGTGGGGCCCGGCACTGCGCCCAGCCACCCCCTGCCGGCTTCCCCACGCGAGGACGCGCGCCCCGGCCCAGCCATGGCCCCCTGGCGCAAAGCGGACAAGGAGCGGCACGGCGTGGGTAGGTGCTGGCCGGGTCCGCGGCCGGGAGGAGGACAGGTGGCGGGAGGGCCGCCCGCAGAAGATGCTGCGGCTCCCGGCGGCGCGGGCGCGGGTCAGAGGGCGCAGCGGCCCCGCGGCCTGCATTGGGCGGCCCGGGCGGGAGAGGGCGGCAGCGAGAGGAAGGTGGGCACCCGCCGGCAGGCTGCGCCCGGCCGCCGGGCCCTCGCCCTCCGGCCTGTCGCGGGCCGCCCCCTCTTGGAAACCTTCAGCGTGGCGGAGACGGGGTCAGGCCAAGGGCTTGGCACCCGGGCTGCCTGCTGGGCACGCGTTCCAAGGCGTGGACTCTACCGCCCCACCGACGACCGGGCCTCACAGAGGGAGCCCCACTGTGTCCTCCGCCTCAGCCTCGCCGGCCGCCGTGCCCGCCTGCCCCCCGCTCCACAGGACGCCCGTCCGCCGTCTCCCCTGCTTGTCCTTCCTGGGTCGGGTGACCCGGCTGTGGCAGAACATCCAGAGCCAGTCAAAGTTGGGGCCTGGGGCTGGAAGGTGGGGCCCTTCCCTGGACCCCAGAGACCCTCCCGCCAGGTTATCCGGGAGCAACCAGCCAAGAAGCCAGTCCTGTCAGCTGCAGCCATCTAAGCTCCCAGAGGCCTCTGCCTCCCGCCGGCGGAAGTGGTGGCTGGGGGAAGGGAGGCGGCAGGTGCCGCGACTCTTTCCTCCAAGTGGCATCAGTGGCGCAATCCCGGTAGACTCGCTGTGGTTTTCAAACTTGAGTGTCAATGTAAAAATCCCCCCGGAGCTTGCTGCACAGGCAGACACCAGACACCGCCCTAGAGATGGAGTTGGCGGGCGAGCCTGCGACAGCCCAGGCGCCAGGCGTGATTAGAGGCAGGGCGTCCGCAGGCCGCTGTTTGAGAGTCGCGGCTCTGGAGAGAGCGGCGTCCATTCACTGACTGGGCTCGAGATGCTGTGGGGCACTTTAGTATGAATGGTCCCCATCCAGAGAACAAATAGTAATTCATATCCTGGGGGGGGGGGCAGGTTTCCAAAGCGAGGAGGGGTACAGCCGATGCTCTTGAGGAAGTATGTGAAGGTTAGAAGCTTGGGCTGTGAAGTCAGAACCGAGTTCAAATCTGGGCCTGTTTCTTCGTCTATGAAGTGCGAATATACTGATAGCACAGGCCTCATGAGACTGTCATGAGGATTGAGAGGGGTGACGTGTGTAAAGCACTTAGTGTGCTGGCTCACTGAGAATTAGTGGCTGAGGTCAAGGGGCTTACCTAGCAGTTGTGGAACCAAGAGAGACACCGAGCAACTGTACCCTCATGCCAAGTTCAGGACAGCCGTGCCTTGTGAGACTGTAGTATTTTATGGTTTACCAGGTCCATTCGCATGCAGTGTCTTTGTCTGACTTCAGAACCATCCATGTGAGGCAGTGTATTATTATTCCCATTTTATAGATGAGGAAACCAAGTTCCAGAGTTCACACAACTTGGAAGTAATGCAGCTGGGCCTTACATTCAGTTGTCTCCAGACCCTAGGCCGTTTGCACTGCACCGGGAAGGCATCCAGAAGGGAGACATCGAGGGTAAAGGCAGGAAGCTGGAAAGCATGTTGCATGTGGGTCAAACAATGAATAGTCCGTTTTGGTTTTAGTATTCTTTGTATTGAAAAAGAACATGGAAGAGGTAGATTATGGCCAGAATATGAAGGGCTTTGAGTGCCAAACTAGCAAGTTTGGATTTCCTTCTGTGAGCGCTGGAGGTTTTGAGGAGTGTCGCCTGTAAGAAGTTAGTATCATTAACTAGAGGGACAGGGATTGTGCGTAGAGTAGAAGGGACGTGGGTAGAAGGGACGTGGGTAACAGTTTTACCTGTCTACCGACTGGCTGCCTGGTTAGTTAATCTGGCAAGAGGCCATTTATAAACAACATTGCCCTTTGCCCTTTACGTGATTAATCCTCTCTGCCTGAGGTTTTTGTCAGTGAAGAGAGCTTTCTCCTTGAGGGGAGAAGAAAGGGCTGAAAAGGACTAGGGAGAAAGAGAAACTAATAGTATCAGTTAGGATTAAATGTGATTATGAGTGACAAAAACCCTCCAAGATAGTGATTTAACTAAGCTACAAGTTTATTTCTGTCTCACACAGAAAGCCCAGAAGTGGTCTGTGAAGAGGTGGAAGAGTGGCTCATTCTATGTCTTCCACTGCTTCCTTGGCGTGTGGCTTCTTGCCTCCTGTACCGCACTGGCTGCTTAAGCTTCAGCCATCAGGTCCACCTTCCAGCTAGCGAGAAGGGTGAAGGGAATAAGATGATCGTGGCTTTTCCCTTTAAAGATACTTAAATGAAGGCACACTTGATATTTCTTACTACATCCTATTGGCTAAAACATAATCATATGACTGAACATAGCTGCAAGGGAGGCTAGTTTGTAACATAGACAGCCATGGACCCAGCTAAAAATGAGGAGTTCTATTCCTAAGGAAGGATATTGGAGATGATGTATTAGTTTTCCAAGGCTGCCATAACAAAATACCACAGACTGGGTGGCTTAAACAACAGAAATTATATCCTCACGGTTCTAGAGGCTAGAAGTCCAAGAAGGCCAGCGGGATTGGTTTCTCTTTTTCCTAGATTTGCAGATGACTGTCTTGCTGCCTCTTCACATCATCGTCCCTCTGTGCAGGCACACCCTGGTGGCTCTTCCTCTTCTTATTAGGACACTAGTCATATTGGATTAGGACCCCACCCTAAAGGACTCATTTTAACTTAATCGCCTCTTTATCTCCAAATATGCACTTATCTTTAACCACAGTTACACTCTGAGGTACTGGGGGTTGGGACTTCAACATTTTGGGAGGGACACAAGTCCACAACAGATAATTTGTGGTATCTGGCATGGTATTTAGGGACTAGAAAGAGGGCTTTAACACAGGAGTCCTGAGACAGGTTTATTTACCTGGACACTGGGCCTGCCAGGCAGATCTGTGTGGGACTTCAGTTATGCTTATAGGGAAGGAACAAATTTCTTTGCATTACCCAACTTAGGTTCTCTGGCTGGGGCCCTGCAAATTAGACCCACAAAAGACAGATGAACAAGAGAAAAACAAACAGAAGTTGTTAGCATGTTCATTGAACTTCTACATGGAGCACACAGAGATGAGTAACTCAAAGGAGTGTTTTAAACTCAGGCTGCGATAGAATCTTAGCAAAGGAACAATAGAGGTTTAGAGAACTGACAAAGGAAAGGGTTTGAGGCTTCCATGGGCAGCAAACTGTGGGAAGGCAAATATATGGAGGAAACTCAAGGAAGATAAGGGCTATTTGTGTAGGTCTGTCTTGGAGCTGATTTTCTGTCTTCTTTATGGCCATAAAACTTAGCTGGGAGAGATTTATGGCAGTCCTTATTTCTTAGAAGTTTCTGCTTCTAGTCAGATAAAGGAAAGTCTGGGAAGTCTTCTTTCTGTATCTGTGGATTCTTATTTGCCTCCAACTCAAAATAATCCTTATGCCAAAGTGGTGCATTTGGGGTGGTGTATTTTGGTCCCTACGCTCAGATGTTCTCTTGCCCCCAGTTATGGTGTTGCAATGTTGTGTGGTGTTGGGAAGTATTTGTTGGTCCCTGTGAAGTCTGGGAAGAAGAGTCTGGTCTTGCTGGCAGTCTCTGGCATTCTTTAGCTTACAGACATACCGGTCTGATCTCTGCCTCCATCTTCACATGCATTCTCATTGTGTGCATGTCAGCCCACCCTGATGACCTCATTTTAACTTTATTACCTTTGTAAAGACTCTGTCTCCAAATAAGATCACATTTTGAGGTACTGGGAGTTAGGACACTAATAATCTCCCCTTTTTTGGAGGGTGGGAGGAGGCACAATTCAAACCATAACAGGCTCTGCAAAAGCAGAGAAGGGATCTTTTCCACATCTTGGTTGGGGAGTATAGAAGAATCCACAACTACTCCCTGATCCAGGGATGTGGGTGCTATTACTGCAGCCCAGGACCCTGGACAGAGCTGGTCCATGCAGAGACTGACGGATTTGGAATGGGCAATGCACGTAAGCTGAGTCCTTTGCTCTTGTTACAAGGAACAAACTCCATTCAAATCAGTTCAATTAAAATGTGTGTGGTGTGTGCACATGTGAGGGCGGGGGAAGTGGTGTGTTTTAAAGGTCAGAGGAATCACATGAAAATCCAGGAAACAGGAGCAGCCAAGCCTCCACAAGGGTGTGAGCTAACACGGCCCTGGAAACCTCTGCCTCTCTTCTCATGGCTACCAAGCTTCTCTGAGGTAGGAGGAAGGACAATTCAAACCATAACAGGCTCTGCAAAAGCAGAGAAGGGATCTTTTCCCCGTCTTGGTTGGGGGGTATGGAAGGATCCATAGTCACCCTCCAGTCCAGGGTTGTCAGCTCTGTCCTCCTTTCTGTTCTCACCAACTCCCTCTGATTCGATTGCTCCTTCTTAACTTGGATATTCTGTAACACCATAATGACGGCCTAGCGTGCCACCCACCCCTCTCTGCATGGCCCTGCCGTTCAAGCATCCACTGAGTTTTCTCTCTGTTGTGTATATTTGTTCAAAGTCCCAAGAGAAGATTTGGAGTGGTGGCTTGATTCATCTTTTTAAGAAAGACCGCCCAAGTCAGAGGTCACCATCAGCCTAAGGATGGGCCCAACTCTGGTCAGGGTGCTGCCCCTGCCTGGTCCAATCCACTATGGCTGTGGGTTCGTGCGTCACGTGGCTTGTTACTCGTCTAGCAGGAGCTGTTCAAGGGACTGAATCCTTGAGTAGGAGGCATGAGTGGAATATGCATCCCACACATATCCAGGGGGAAACTCCACTACAGGGGGACCAGTTCTACTGCTCTTGTTGCCAAAGGCAACAGTTAAGAAAAAAGGATAGAAAACACCATTCACTCACTAACTTGTTTATTTGTTCACTCATTCATTCTTCATTTATTTCTTAAATATTTGCTGTGTTTACAATGCCAGGTACTGCACTCGTCACTGAGATTACTTGAA